ATTAGTTGAATCACCTCTCATCTGCTGAGTAATAATAACGTGAGCTAACATTTAATGAGCACCTACTGTGTGCCAGGCTCTTGTGTAAGAACTTTCCATGTATGAACTTACGTATTGTTCCCAACTCTGGGAAACAGGCACTGCTATTGGGCCTTCAACATAAGGCCCGGCAGCGGCCCAAGCCACACCACTCAGCCAGTAGCAGAGCCAGGACTCGTGGCTGTAGGCCCCCCCTCCGCCGCCCCCGGCTGAACCACTGCCTCCCTAAGGGCAAGATGAGGGATGACCATTTCAAGACCAGATCTTCATTCCCACACGGTTGATGTGCTTCGTGCTAGGCTCCAAGGTGCTCAGAAAAGGAGCTGCCCACTTTTACAAGCTGACACTGAAGTAGCAAAAAGGAAGAACCCCCCTTGGCCCCTGGCTGCACTGGCGACAGAGGCCTGAAGGGCCATGACTAGTGATTTCCGATTAAAAGAACCAGCCTCTTGGTAATCTCATGAGTCGGAGCATCCCCGAACCCCCCGAACCCCTGCCGATGTTCCATTTGGACTGAACTCTGGCCACCGAGGTGCTTTTCTTTTTTGGCCCTCAGAGAACCGATGACAGAACCTACGAAGGGAAGGTACAGAGCCGTTTTTGAAGGGAAAGGTCAGCTCTCGCATTTGCAGTAATCGTAATTGTGGTGGCGTGGTCAGTCATACTGCAGTGTGACCACCCCGGTGTCCGTTTTGTCACTGAGGACACCCTCTTCCTGTGGGAGTTCACTCTTCTCCTCAGTCCAGCCCCGTACTCTATCCCCAGCAGTGGCTTTATTTACTTTTATTTTAACCAAGTTCATTATCTCAGTTAAAAATTAAAATCTATTCACCAAGGTAAAGAGGATAAGGAAGTGAGGTCAGATCATCCACAAATAACTGATCAATGTAGGTACAATGTATCCTCTGTCAAGTTTCAGGTCTCTGGGGGTTTGGTTTTGTTTGAGAGCAAGAGAGAGATTGAGAGAAGGAATGGGGGGAGGGGCAGACTCCCTGCTGAGGAGAGAACCCAAAGTGGGACTAGATTCCAGGACCCTGGGATCATGACCTGAGCTGAAGGCAGACGCTTAACCGACTGAGCCACGCAGGCGCCCGGGGTTTTGTTTTTGAGCTATAATTGACATACAACACAACAGTTTCAGGTATACAACATGATTGAATATTTGTACAGACTGCAAAATGATCACCGCAGTAAGTCTAGTTAACATCTATCACCACACATGATTACAATCTTTTTCTTGGGATAAGAACTTTGAAGATCTACTCTTTTAGCATCTCTCAAATATACAGTGTCGTGACATATAACCACCTTGCTGTACATGATGTCCCCAGACTGACCTATTTTATAACTGGAAGTCTCTACCTTTTGACCACCTTCACCCATTTCACCCACTCCCCAGCCCTCACCTCTGGGGTTTTTAATTGAGTGAGAAGGACCCGGGGGTGGAATATGCTCTCAAAGTAGAGAAGAAGCTGGGGATGACCAGAAGGCTGGCTGCTTCCTGAGTGTGTGTGGTGTGCCCATGCACGTGCGTGTGCACATGTTTTTAATGTCTCTGTGGTTCTCGTCAACAGTATTAATGTCATATTTTTAGCTCCTCTGTTTATGACTTTGGCAGAAGGAATACGGCAGATTAAGTGAGAAGAATTTTTAAATTCCATCAGAGCTCCGGCCATGAGAGATAAAGCCAAGTAAAGTACTTTTCTTTGCTTTAGCGTTATGAATTCATTGGGCCTCATATGCCCAAAATACAGCATTTTCCATAAACATTAAGCTACTAATTATTGACATTAGACACAATGATACTGTGGCTTCACTAAGGCAATGAATAAGGCCACTCTTTGAGTTTTTTTTTTTTTACAACTATGATTAAAATGTCTTAGAATCATATTTATACACCAAATCCTAAAGGCATTAATTAAGACACAACTGCTCAAAGACTAGCATTGTAAATCATGTCCATATCCACTGAGTAAAGTCAGAGAATTACAGGGACTTGTACAGAATTTACGTCTATTTTCCTCTGCTTCTGAAACTCCTTTTTATTTTGAAGGGGGAAATTAGGGAGAGAGAGAAAAGCTTGAGGGAAAAACAATTCTTGTAAAACAGGGCTACCACTAATTATGTTTTCAGGACATCAAATGCAGCTTGCAAAAAATTTTTGGAATGGTTGATAGCTGCAAGGAAAAAAAAGTCTGTATCTGCATTATAGCTGAAGTGCTGCCCTCCCTTTAAAAGCCATTATGTAAATGTTTTTCATGGAAGCATCATTGAGCAAAGAGGCATGGGAAGGCACAGAAGCGAAGTCCCCGTGAACTTGGATGCATTCCGGGCAGCAGGAAAGCAGTTACTGAGGACCCTAATCTCTCAAGCCAGGATTAGATGCTACCAAAGACATTATTGGGTCATTTCACAAAACTAGAATATAAATGGTAGCTTACATAAAAGTGATATATCAATGTTAAATTTGCTGACATTGATAATTATAATTTTCTCAGCACATCCTTATTCTAGTGGCCCAGGTAAACGGAAGAAGGCCCAGCACCCCAGAAGCTGGGTACACTTCAGAGTACGGTTGTTTGAAAAGAGGCAGCGAGACTTTTAAAGTGAATAAACAAAAACACAGTTCTTAGCAGTCTAATGAGTGGGATCTACTTTAGGATACTGTTTACTCTTCTAAAAAGTAAACCATGAAATCCTTAAACAGAATGAATGAAGGACGTCCTTTTCATTTTTGTAAGTTTCACTATTTGGTATTTCTCACTGTGATAGCCGTGAGGGATAAATTACTTCCATATCAAATGGCAGCTTGTGAGGATTTGAAGAGCTCACTTGACATTCTTTTGAAAAATGAGCTTTTACTTTAACCCTTTAATTGTGTGGGTTTTTTTTAAAACTTGAAACTTCTGAAGACACTAGATCTTCCACGCGTCTTTCCTGTTCTTTAATTTCGTCGTGCCTTCGGTGGTCTGTGAATGCCCGGGTGGCGGGCCCTGCTGCTCATGCCCTCCGTCGGCAGACATTTCATTCCCTCTGTGATCACTTTCTTTCCAAAGGACTAAATGAGAACTTCAAAACCCCTGATTTTAAATTTCAAATACTAATTACTTCATCTGTAATTAAATTGTTCAAATTCATTTTCCGTGCCTTTTTCCAGCCTGTGAGCGACCATGCAGGGCGGGGTGGAAATGATTCTTCCATCCCGTATGTAGCAAGTACGGTGCTGGAGTGTGGACCCCACACCTGCTTCTCCACCCTCCCTGCCCCTGCCCTGCAGTACAGAGGATGCCAAGTCTGATTTTCGTTGTTTTCATCGTTCTCTCCGAGAGATCCACCAGCAGCCTGCGCGTGTACCAGGTGAAAGATGGGGACTCCGTGCCCCAAACGACCTAGACAGGATCCATGAAACACAGGTGGTCTTTTAAGGCCAAGACCCTGATCCAAGTTGAAGGTAGCTCTGGCTAGAGCAACCGATGTGGTTCCTCAGGAAGAAGCTGCACCTGGGACAGCATCTGTCACTGCAGCCGCCCCGGCCTGTCCCCCGGGAGGCCTGTCCCCCGGGGAGCGTTGCAGTGTCACCTGCCCCCCCCCACCCCCGTTCCTCTGCCAGCCAGCTTTCCCTGCTTATTTATAGTTCTCTGCCCTGGTAACGTGGTCTTGTGGGAGGCTTTGGCTTGCCCGTGACCCTTCCTCTTTGACTTCGTATCCAACATTTCAGGTTTTCTTCAAGCTGCCTTTGATGATGTCCTAGAAATAACAATCCTTAATAGCTTCGTTTTACAAGCATTCAGCTTCTGCTCCTTCCATGTTTGTCTTTTAAAATTTACATGAGACTGGGTAAGGCAGGGTACGGGAATGAGTGATGAACATCTGTCAGCTCCTGCACCAGCCCCATCGTGGCTGCTGCCATGCTTGGGGAGAAGGACCCAGCGTGGGTCAGGCACTGCCCGGGGGAGCCCCTCCGGCAGCGTGGGTCAGGCACGGTCCGGCAGGGCTGTTCCTCTGGGAGAGATGGCAAATGTGGCGGACACTTGGCCCGGCACAAACTAGCTTGTGCCTCCCTGCTCAGAGCTAAACGCTTACTGACTGAATGTCCCTACTTTGTCCTGATCCCCAGCGATAACCGAAGGTAATCTTGAAACCAAGTAAGAGCTCGCCTTGTGGGAGGCCGGTGATGTTTTTGTTTGGTTTCCTTCACGTGTGGCCGGCGCTTGCTGTCAGCGACTTTGACATTGGCGTCAGCTCCTCGAGTTTTGCCTGGTAGGTTTACCTTGGATGGCTTCCTCTCCTAGGAGTTGTTTTAATGTGTTATAAAAACTTGAGTGTCGCCTCTCAGTCAGTCATGGAGACTGGGCTTGGGAACATAAAATGGTAAACAAAACAGATGCAACCCTTACCTTGCCGCGTCTAAGTCTCATGGGAGAAGAGGCATAATGAGAGGGCCATACCGTTGCCGTGGACGGGTGCTGTGGCCTCCCAGAGCGGCAGCGTCCAAGCTGAGACCTGCAGGATGGGGCTTAGTCACTCAAAGGAGGGGAAGAGGAGTGCTTCCGGCAGAGGGGTTCCAGCCCGAATCCTGCTCTGTGGTCATGTAATCAGGAACACTGCCTCGTCCCTGAGAAAGTTGAGCGTGGCCAGGCCTGGGCGTTCTGACACCCCTGTCACTCCATGAGACCCCATGAGCTCCCAAAGAGCAGGGGTCTCCTGTATGACGTGGTTCATGGTAGGTCCTGGATAAGCATGTATTTAGTAAATAAGAGGTGTTGAACATTGTCTTGAAGCTGCTTTCTGTTAGACTTTATTGGTATTAAAATATGATACACTGCTTATAAAAAGGCCTGAAGTAACTTGATTTTCCAGAAGCTTTTTCCCCAGCAAGGCTGGCTGGTCCTTGCCAAGTCAGCATGTCCTCCCCCTGCCTCCTCTGCTCTTACCCATGTTGTTTTCTCTACCCTGTTGGCATGGCCTTTAGAGAGCCCGGCCAGTGGGACAGAGAAGTGATGCTCCAGGAGTGTTTTCTGTGTGCTTCTGCGGAGATAAAGGATCCTTGCAACCGTATGGGAATCACGAGTGAGGCAAAGCATCAGCTCCCTAGAATCCTTGGGAAGGTCTTCTGCATAGGCGAGGTTTCCAGCTCACTGAAGATTTACCTTCGGGTACTCGAACTGTTTTAAGTCAATTCCCAATTTGATTTCCATTTTAAAATATAGTAGGCCTTTTCCTAGAAATTTTTAGAAGAAAATTCTCTTTTTTCCCTTGTAACAGATTTTAAAGGGTATGATAGTGCCAGTGCTTCTTGAGGGGGTGTATGATTTTGCATTTATAACCAAGGACTCCAGGCACCTGAACTCTTCCTGTTGGCTACTTTATAATTAGGAGATCGGTTGAAACTTGTAACTCCTGTCAGCACGCTTGGCTTCATTAGCCCCTGCCTCTCTCTGAGCCATTGGTACTGATAAACTGTGAAACTGGAAACCCCAGAACCCAAGTTGTATTTACTTGTTCATGTGTTTATTTCAACATTTGTACCTTCACTAAATGTACACTCAGCCAGGCGTGGGGCTAAGTACTGGAGTTACACCAAGGTGAGGGACGCTGGTTCCTTGTGCTCCGAGGGCCTTCTGGAGGAGCAGAGGGTGCGGGAGCACGGTGGGGGACTGGGCGGAGCACCTCCACCAGGCTGAGCTGCCGCGTGGTGGAGACTGGCTGGCCCCCCAGTAATGACCCTGCGTTTTTTAATCCACGGAGTGTGTAACTGCACACTCATCGCATAGTTCGGGTTGCAGAGGCCACTTCCCGTGTCTGTGTCGTGTTCTAGATTGTGAGTGCCTATTAGGAGCTGAGCTGGTGGGCAAGATCTGACCTGACATCAGTGACCTTCCCTCCCCCCCAGTTTCGATCATTATTAGTGGTGCTGTTGAATCACTTGATTAAGGAAGGTGCTGATCCCAGACCTCCCCATTGTAAAGGCGTATCTTTTTTTCCATGACAGTAAGTAAATTTTAGGCCAGTATCTTGACATGCGTGAATGGCTTGTTCCCCCAAAACTTCTCACTTAATGTTTCAGAGTCAGTGAGCCTTTCCTGGATCAGTTACCTTTGTTACAAAATTGTGATTTTTCCAGTACTAACATTTCTTATGCATTTGCTAGCAGTCCGTGTTCTATAAAGATCTTCATATCCTCCCTCCCTCCCTTCATCATCATCGACTAGATTTTTATTTATTCAATGCATTACAGTCCATTAGAGCCATTATTCTTTTGATACATAAAACTGCCCCAAGTGTGGCTGAGTCGGAGGCACCTTCACACCGGTCCGTGCTGTTCACGTTAGACCGACCGTTAGCGCATCCTTGCTCCTTGACGCAAGGCGTCCCACCCTGTTCCTTCCCTGCCCCTCCCTTGGAATCCGTCACCTCTCAGGAAGCTCTCTCAGTGCCGAGGAAAATTCAAAACCAGGACGTGGGTAATAGGAGCACGCGCTGCTCTGGAGAGGTCATTGCTCCCAGGCGCTGTCAGTGGCTAAACCTAGGACACGAGGAAAAAATATGCCCTTGTACTGATGTTTTTTCCTAAAGTATTAATTTGTAATCTCTTTTTTCTTGTTAATTAGAAACTCAATTATGGTGATGCTTCGAGGTTACCTAAGAACCTTTCCTCTAAAAAAAAAATAATAATAATTTAAAATCTCTATGTGTTGTTCTTATCTCTCTAGAGGGAGAAAGGACAACTTAATCCATACTGAGAGAAAAAGTGCTCAGAAAGATTAAATAAGTTGCCCAAGTGGGCCCTGTCATTGTACTGTGTGCACTTTCTCTTTTTTTTTTTTTTTTAGGATTTTATTAGCGAGAGAGAGAGAATGAGAGACAGAGAGCATGAGAGGGAGAGAGCACATGAGAGGGGGGAGGGGCAGAGGGAGAAGCAGGCTCCCCACTGAGCAGGGATCCCGACGCAGGGCTCGATCCCAGCACCCTGGGATCATGACGTGAACAGAAGGCAGACGCTTAACCGACTGAGCCACCCAGGCGCCCCTGTGTGCACTTTTTCTAAGTGTATGTATGCTAGTTCTGTGATCAGAGGAGGTCATTGGAGGTACCTTCTATATACTTTTTAGTAAATTCCTTTTATATCATACATTTGCAATAGATCTAAAAAGCATCCTTAATGTTGCCAATATTTATAATCTATTCTGGTTACTTTCAGGTGCGGCTAAATCAAGTCCAGCGTCTAAGCCAGGATCCACACCTTCTCGTCCCTCGTCAGCCAAAAGGGCTTCGTCCAGCAGCTCAGCATCCAAATCTGATAAAGATTTAGAAACACAGGTCATACAGCTTAATGAACAGGTAACTCATCAGCCCTGGCCTGGTCTCTGAGGGGGGTGGGGAGGAGGGAGAAAACGTCTATAGGCCTGAGGTAAGGTTGGAGGGGGACAGTGGTTTCAAGCAAGTAGGGATTGAAGAAATTGTTCAGGCAGATAAAATCAGTGGCCCACTAGGAAGAAAAGATGTTAGGAGGCGCCTGGGTGGCTCAGTTGGTTAAGCGACTGCCTTCGGTGCAGGTCATGATCTCAGGGTCCTGGGATCGAGCCCCGCATCGGGCTCCCTGCTTGGCAGGGAGTCTGCTTCTCCCTCTCCCACTCCCCCCTGCTTGTATTCCCTCTCTCGATGTCTCTCTCTGTCAAATAAATAAATAAAATCTTTAAAAAATTTAAAAAAAAGATGTTAGTCAGAAATCACAACTATACATTAAGACAGAAGGACAGAGGACTCAGCCCCAGGTAAATGCAGGTTCGTAGGCCAACGTCTCACTCCCCACCCCCACCCTACCACCCACACTGCAGGGCCGATCACGAGCTCCAGGCTAGACCACGGCCTCTGTGCCCACTTCTGGCCAGTCTAGATACCATTCAGCACTGGAGTTAGGGTTAGTCTCTCTTCCTCCTTCCTTTACGTCAGCAGCTATTTGTCAAGCCTATTCTATGGGACAGGCCCCATGCTCGGTGCTAAAAACATAATGGTAGTGAGAGAGAGACCGCAGACCTTCCCTTCCCTTGGAGGACTTAGAGCAGTTATCCGGGGTAGACAATTATGCCAGCAAAGTGAACACCTGACACTTCCCACCACAGAAGTTTGATGTCACAGGAGTACTGAACCCAATACTGGGGCGTCAGAAAGGCCACAGTTGTGTTTGAAAAATGTTCTTTTTTGTCTAAATATAGCTCTCCTCTCATTGCAATTTCAATATAAAACTAGGTATGCTGTCTACCTAACAATAGGTATTTTTGCCTAAGGTTATATGTAGTTTAAAGGTAATAAAATGATTGGTAGCATGAGGCCCACTGCAGAAGCCTCCCCCCTGACCCTGAGTTGAGAAGAGCCCTTTGTCCCAGCTGCTCCCACCACTGGGAGAGGGGCTTTCATTCACCGTTCTTAGGCTCTTCCCAGCCAAGTGGCCGGGCCATTCCCGGTGATTAATCTGATTCCTGATGAGCCTGCAAGAGTCTGGAAACAGTTTTTGAGATAATTGTATATTTGCAATCAGGAGTCAAGTTTAAAAGCCGGCAGTTGCTTAGCTAGGGTGTTTCTTTACAATTCTGATCACTTTAATGAAAACGATGAAACCTGAAGTCATCCAGTGGGTAGGACTTTGATTTAGAAACTGTGGAATGTTCCAACTACCTGCCGATTCTCAGTTTGAGCCCATATGGAATTTCCAGTAACAGGTTCTTCTCAGAAGGTCGATGGGACAGCCATAATGAGCTGTAGGCCACATGCCCAAGGCTCTGAGCAAATCCGAGTAGACTTAGAACCAGGCGTGGGTCTGTGACACTTTAGACTTATAAAGAGAGGAGAAAGACCCTTTCTCCTTAGGAACCCAAGTTCTTTCGATATCTTTATTATCTCTTGTTCTGTCATGATCTCTCTCCTCCCTGTGGTCTCCCTCTACCACACCCAAGTTTCCAACCTTCCAACCCAAAGTGTAACCACACAGAAACCTCAAGATCCTTCCTGCCCCTCTCCCATTCGCCTTAGCCAGCCGGACCCCCTTCCTCTCCTTGGGGCTGGCTCCGTGCTCCCATTAGCTGTCTAGTTATGCAAAGAGCCTCCCATCCCCAGGGAACCCACCCCACATCCTGCCATCCAAAAATGTCACTCTAGAGGGGAGAGGGAGAAGAGCGAGAAGAGCTTTCCAATGGTCTTAAAATTCCTTTATTACTTCCAAAGGGCTTCACTCCCCCGCCTGCCTCCGTGCACATCAAGGAGGGTTGTGTCTGTTCGCCTCCCTCCCCCCGACCTGGTCCCGCAGAGGGAAGGTCACACACCCTAAATTGTGAGTGTTCATTCAGCTGTTCACTGAGCACTTACCCCAGATCCATAGCCGTGCTTCTGTGTTCTCGCTCCCTCCGTTTTCTGTCCTGGCAGCCTGCGCGGTGGCCGGCTGACGCTGGTGGGCAGCCACAGAGGCATGACTGTGCTGGGGCGGAGGACTCCGGGACGAGGAAGAGCTGGGGGGAAATGCCTAGGCTGAAGAGTGAATTAGTCATAATAGAGGAAGTGATGAGTGCCATGAACTTGAAGAATTCTCATTTACTTGGCCTCCTGCCTCTATTCAGGCGGTCTCCCATGACATACTATAAAAGTACCACTGTGCTAGGCAATTCCAGTGATAGAAATGAATCAAAAGACAGAGGGGAGGGGCTCCTGGGTGGCTCGGTCAGTTAAGCATCCGACTCTTGATTTCAGCTCAGGTCATGATCTCAGGGTTGTTAGATAGAGCCCTGCATTGGGCTTCCTTCTGGGCGTGGAGCCTGCTTAAGATTCTCTCTCCCTCTCCCCCCACCCCTGCTCTGTCTTAACGGGAGAAGGCAACATAACTAAAATCATGAGGGCTGTATGTGGAGAGTGGGTTAGCAAGCAGGCAGTTGGGGGGAGTCAGCGCAGTGCCCAGGGGCCTCTGGGGGCTGGAGAGTGGGCATTGGTTGGCTTGGGCAGCAGGGCTGTGAGGACCCACGGTATGCGGATGCTGAGAGGGAGGGGGGATAATTGAGAGAGGAGAACTTGCCCTTCTTGTCTCTTCCTCTTGATTTACTCGAAGGTCCATCCCCAGTGTCCCCTCCGCCACTCTGGCTTCTGCAGCAATACCTGAGGGTGCAGCGTGGTGTCGGTCTTCATGAGTGGGCCTGTGAAAGGGGACTTTCCTTTGCCAGTTGATCTATCCTCATACGCTTCAGCCCCTGACAGTTTTTAGCTGCGCATCCATTACCTGGTGCATCTGGAATACCACCAGGGGCCAACCTGGGCTGGATATTTCTACAGAAGCCTCAGCCCTTTGTATGTTGTACAGACCAGAGCGCTCTCGAGAGGCAGCAAACCTAGTTTCCATGGGTTGAATGCTTCCAGAGACCCTTCTTGCCTCATCCAGGGAGAGCTCGCAGGCCCAGACACCTCAAGTGCCACAGATCTGTCTACAGGCACCAACACAGGCTTCTGAGGAACTCTGTGGCCAAGCCTCGGGAGGGGGTGGGTTGGTTTTAAAACAAGGAAGGATTTCTAGAATAAGGGAAGTTTTCTTTTTCCTATACTTAAGGCTGCTGGATGCCTTCATTTTTTTTTTTTTTTTTTTTAATAAATAACCCAACCATCATATCATCAGAAATGAGAGTGAAAACTAGTGAATGAGGCTCAGCTGCCTTGTGAGCAGCATGTGAGGGGGTCCGCGAGGTGAACTCTCTGGGGCCCTATCCCTGAGTCTTAGGCCAGGTATGCAGGAAGGGGATGGACACTGCATGTGCTCGGTGTGTGTTCGAATGGATCAGTAATTCCAGGCAGATAAATAGCATGTACAAAGGCCCAGCATTATTAGAGAAGAAAATTTCCCTTTCCAAAGGTAATTTTTGGAAATTCTGTTAGGGTGATTTCAGTACACTGAATGAGAGATTTGACCTGAGGAGGACCATGAAAGATTTAATTCACCTCCTAAAGTATATTGTCTGCATAAATCTAAATGCGCAGGGGTTAGAAAAAAAAGGGAGGGGGAGGATTCTCAGCAGGAACAGGGTGAAGGTTTGGGCCTGTGTGTAGCTGCTGTGCCCATTTGGGATTTGAGGCCCAGTCTATTGACGCCACGGTCAGTGTCCCTTCAGCCCAGGTGGTAGTGCTTCCCCCTTCCCCACACCATCTCTGTCATCAGTGTGAGAGGCCGCACAGCCCTCGAAGGTTGTGGAACCAGCCTCCAGGGGAGAAAAGGGGAATGAAGGGCTGTTTTGCTGAGGGAATGGGGCTTCCTTATCGTGCTCTTCCCCCTGCACTCCCTACAGTGTCCCCAGAGCCAGAACCAGACGAGTTAAGACCAATCCACTCAGCCGGGCTCTCCGTCTCACCCAGTTGTCCTTGTAGCTGAGACCCAGTTTCTCAGTAGAAAGCGTTTGTCTATGGTGGCTTCGGGACATTTAGGAAGGGATCCAGAACGAAGGGTGGCTCTTCCTGCAGGTTCCCTGAAGAAAGGAGGGTCCTCAAAATACATCCAGAGTAACCACAGTGGCGGCCTCTCTCATCTGCCGCCCCCCCTCCCTGCAGAGGATGAACAGGGTAGAAGGATGTGCTCTGGCCTGTGTTAGCAGGAGAGGAGGAAAGCTCGCTCGGAGCCCGGATGCAACCGTGTCGGGCAGAACGATCCCTCCCACAGTGGTTATGAACACTCAGCTGGCAGAGGGGATGACCGGCGTGCTATTGAAGTCGGACGTGTGGCCCAGGCGCGAGCTCCATTGCACAACTCGTTTCATGTTTCAGGTCTTTAGAGGCAGGCGTAGTTGGTTGTGTTTCTTATACTGTTTTTTGGGGTTTTATTTTCCTTCTACCCTCACTCCCTTGCAGGTACATTCATTAAAACTTGCCCTCGAAGGTGTGGAAAAGGAGAGAGATTTCTACTTTGGCAAATTGAGAGAGATTGAGCTACTCTGCCAAGAACACGGGCAGGAAAATGATGACCTCGTGCAGCGACTAATGGAAGTCCTCTATGCTTCGGAAGAACACGTAAGTGAGAGCCCTTGACTCCTGCGTTCTGAAGCGATGCTCTTGGCCAGGGTGCAGTGATCAGTGTGCCTTCAACTGCTGAGAATTAGGACTCAGCCAGTGCATTTGTTATTCCCAGAGGAGTAAGTATCATTATCATCCAATTCGCTGACCCATGCTTGTGGGCTGGGCGTTCGTGAAGTAATCTGGGAAGAGATGAGTGGATGGGGGTGGGGGGAAAGTAGGAAGACTGATTGAGAAAAACAGGTTGATGCAGCCAGATATCAAGTGGTTTTCAGCTCTGAGCAGCTGAGCAACAAGAACGTGTATAAGGATTCTTCATGACAGATCAGAGTATGGTTAGAGGAAGAATTCGCCTAGGTGTTTTTCCCATCCCCATAAGCCTCCCTCAACTGCCTGTTTTTATTTCATCGCTGGTTGTCTTGGTTACTCCTTGCCAGTGCAGACCAGCACTATGCAACAAAATATTTTTAGAAGGGCTCCTCTGGGGCTATCTGGCTGGCTCAGTCGGAAGAGCATGCAACTCTTGATCTCAGGGTCATGAGTTCAAGTCCCATGTTGGATATAGAGATTACTTGAATCTTAAAAAATAAAAATTAAAAAAAAAAAGGCAGCGGCCTCCTCTACGGGCAGGACCTGGCTATCAGGGCTTGCTCATCAGGAGTGTAAGGGAGAGGGGGTGGGAGGGGGGACCCCAGGATGTGGATTCTGTCCTGGTGAAGGAAAGCAGGGAATCAAGGACAGGAAGGGAAGGGGGTGATAAATGGTAGAGACGAAGTCAGGTACCCCCAAATCTGCCTGTGCAGGGAGTGCGGGGCCCCAGCAGCAAGGCAAGAGTGGGAGCCCGCCAGAGAGCCCTGCCTGTGGAAGGTGGGAAAGAGGGGGCTGGGGTTTCAAGCTCTTCCCTAGGCCAGGCTGAAGCTGGTAGAAGGTCTGAGTCTGTTGGACCTGGAGGCCTGGGGCCATTCCCAGGACTCGGGGGGGGGGGGGGGGGGGGAGTTGCATGTGTTCATACTTTGACGGAACGGGAACAAGTCACCGGCAAGTTTACTTTATGACTTATTCCAGCCCAATACCAGACAAATGTTTACTCCATGTAAGATTTGAAATCCTAGGGATGAGATTTTCTAAAACGGCCCATGGTTTGAGGACTCTCCACCACAGTTTTCATTCCCCCTCCCCAGCACAGTT